CTCACTGTGCTCCATGCGTTGCTCCTCAAGCTCAACACTTCTCCCTTGTGCAGAGGAAACTAATTTCCTATGTTTTATATCCCCAGCCCTTTTAGAGGACCATCCCTCCAGTCAGTACAGAGAAGCACCTCAAAAAGGCCATTTCCCAATGGTCCCTGTGCTCTCCTTCCTCCCATGTGGGTTTCAGTGGGGCCACATGTTGGCTGGTGGGATGTGGGCAGGTGGAGAGCTGGGCTGGAGGAGCTCTGCTGGGCTCTTGGCTTGGTGCCTTGGGTTGGGCCATGATCAGCATCCCAGACAACCTCAGCAATGCTCCAGGGGCCTGCAAGGAGCAGTCGTGTCCTTGGGCTGAGCTGGTGGTCCCACACCCTCTCCCAGAGCCACCACTGGTGTCCCTGGTGGTCATTGTGCCTCTTGTGGGGACACCTCCATGGGTGCTGGGGTGTAGAGATCCCCCATACTGGTCTGGTGGCATAAGGGGCTGAATTCCCCTGGGAACGCGGTCCTGCCCTGTGCCAGGGAGGCAGGAGGAGCCTGAGGAGCAGCACAGGGTTTCGGTTTGGGGCGGGCACAGGACCCAAGTGGGTTACTCAACACTCAGAAGAGCGTGGCTGCTCAGAGGGGGAAGGACAAGCACTCTAAAGGACAAAAGCCCATATCTGCAGCCCTGCCAGCACAAACCTCCTCAGCCAGAGTGAAACTGGACTATCTTGCAAAAACACTGTGAGCAAACAGCTCTCCACGGAAAGCATCTGATAAGGGCAGCTGCATTTCTGGTGGCTCGGGCGAGAGGACCTCGCTGCTCCCATTAGTGCTGCTGCTCCCCCGGGGCCATCTCACTGCTCTCTGCGGGGACACACCATGTCCACCACCCTGTGCCAGGTGATGGGCTTCCTGGTGGCGTCTCTGGGCATTGCCGGCACCATCACGGCCACGGCCATGGACACGTGGAGCACACAGGACCTGTATGACAACCCCGTCACCGCCGTCTTCCAGTACCAGGGGCTGTGGAGGAGCTGTGTGAGGCAGAGCTCCGGTTTCACCGAGTGCCGGCCCTACTTCACCATCCTTGGGCTGCCAGGTAGGAGCTAACCACGCTCCAGGTTTGACCTGGGAGCTCTTCCTGTAGCTCTGCACGGTTCTCGTCCAAAACTGAAGCAGTAGGAGCAGGTATCTCAAAGCACTTGGGGAGGAATAACATTTGCAGGCTACTCAGAGTAAAAAGGGGAGTGTATTTATTGCCAAAATGATACCTCTATTAAGCGGAAGTTACAGCTTGGAGAAACTTGGAGAAACTCGTGGGTGGTTTCTGGATGAGCATCACAGGTTCAGGCATAAATCAGCACAGCTCCGGTGATGTGAGGGGAGCGAGGGTGTTTCAACCCCAGGTATTGTCCCTTTGAAGGGAAACCCAAGGAAAACAGCTGCATGGAACTGTGTGTTGTCAGAGAATAGTGAAAAAGATTGGCTTTTCCAAAGGGAAAACTGGAATTGGAGAAATCCACCTGTGAGCAGGAAGGGTCAGGAGCAGAAGAAGGTGTGTTGGGTCACTTCACATGACCCGGGGATGGTTAGTGCTGCAGAAGTTGATTGCAGAGGGGTGTTATTTTCCGGCTGGCTTGCCAGTTTTACCAAAAGAGCTGGTTTTCCCCTCCCACTGCACGGGAGGGTATTCCAGTGCTCCTGGCCCATGGCAGAGGGGCAGCCAGCCTGGCCCTCCATGCCAGCCTGGGAGCTCTGGTGCCAGCCAGCAGGAAACGTGGCCCTGGGAGTGGTTTTGGTGCCCAACTGCAAATAGGTCCAAGTAATAAGTGCTGCCCACAGGCCTTCTGACTGGAGAATGTTGTGGGTTCCAGCCCTGTATCCTCAGGGATGCCACCATGGTTTCCCTCTGGGAAGCTTTGCCGAGGACCAGGGTTTGCTTTCTGAGGGAAGCCCAAGGGGTCAGGTGGGGTAAATGTGTCTCTGTGTTTCTTCAGGATTGCTCAGGCCACTTCTTTCCCCTGTGGAAGAGCAAACCTCATATTTAGAGTTCTTTTTCCTATGGCACCATTTGTTTTAGGGAATTACAAATATATTCATCAAACTATATATATATATATATAGAAATGTCGATCACTATATAGATCTTTGGAAGGCTGTGTGTGGGTGATGGGTTTTCAAAGAGCAATGAGACAATGGGAACCAACCTTTTAGTGTCAGTTTATCTTATTCCAGATTTCATATTTTAAGTTATTTTTAGGTCATATGGCAAATATGCAAAACACTCAAAGGCAATTTCTGTTGTGCCTTAGAGATATTCTGTCAGTTTGGATCTTTATGTGTCCATTTAATTGATGAATACCTTAAAACATAAGCAAAAAATTCCCCTGTTTGAATTGGGTTAATTTAAAGACCTTATTTTTTTCCCCTAAACTTTCTATATCCCATCAATCATTTGTGGTCATAAAGTCATATTTCCATTTTTTTAAAATTTTGTATCAGCAACAGATACACAGGTGATTTTCAGTTTAAATTACTAAGTTCTTTTACCTAGCTCACCTCTCATGTTGTAGGGAGAAAGACAACTCTCCAGTTTCCCTTACATCTGGAAAACACAGTGATGCAAACTGTGCTTTCTGACCACTGGCATTTATTTTGGTGAAGAAACTTGAGTTTTTGCTATTCTCTTGTTGTGGAACACCCTTCCTTTGTACAGAAATCAGGTGTGCAGATATGGAGCAGAGTTAACACCCTCATGCAAAATGTTTATCCCAAACCCCGGTAGTTTCTGTGCTTGCCTTAAACTCCAGGGCTCTTTGCTCCTCAGGTCATTTCTTCTCCTTATTCTCCTGTTTTGTTTGTCTAAACCCTCCCACTCCTTCCTCCCGTGGGAGGTCATTCACCTGTCATCAGAGGACTTTCAGTGGAAATTCCCTTGAAGCCTCAGTGCTCACTTTCCAAACAGCTTCAGGTCCCAGGAGCCTTTATGCCATAGCACACCTGGGAGAGCTTTCCTCTTCTTCCCATCCCTTTGTGGAGATGGTGCCTCAGTCAGTCTCATGGAGACAGGAATGGCTATTTGGCATTTTTTTTCTCTTGTGCCCTGCTGGGTTCCACTCCCTCCCCTTCCCAACAGCTCCTTTTCCATGGAGATTCACCAACTTGGACTTCAGCACTCCAGCGAAAGTGCAACATTCCTGGCTTTGGCCTCTTGTGTCATTCCATGGACTCCCAAGGAACACCTCTACTGGGAATCAGCAAGCTCTCTGTGGGATCTTGACGTAGGGTCCCTTCGTGATGGGTTGAAAACAGCTCAGTGATGACACCAAGGAACCACAAGGTCTGTAGGAAAAACCCAGGAAGGAAGGAAGGACTGGCCTAGGGACCAGGAGCTTCTTCTTATGTTGCATTATCAGCCTCTCCTGCCTGTCCTAAAACAAAGGCAGCTACAAAGGAACTTCAGTGGTTGTAAAGCCAAATGAGATTGAGCTTTTCTTCTCTTTGCAGCTTTTTATGCTTCCCATCAGGTGCTGCGGAACAACCTTTGAGGACTGATAAGGCGTATCCGCAGCTCCTTGTTCTCTGATGGAGAACAGCTAATGAGCTCGCACCTGGGGGCTGATGAATGGCAGATTGAAAATCCCAGGCTCGTTAGCACTTGTTATCAGCCGATAAGGGCAAATTGAGTCATAAGAGGCAGCCCCGGTGGGACCGCCAGTGGGAGAGAGTGATGTGTTCCCAGCCTGTGGTGTGGCAGGGCGCCTGCTTCTGTGAGCGCCGCGGGGCTGTCGGGGTGCTGGTGCCCCACAGGCACCCCAGCACCCACCCTGCCCTCCTGCCCACCCTTCTCCCAGCCTATGCAAAGCCAGCAGAGTCTGCTCCGCGCTTCCCGGGCACCCAAAGGGGTGACAGCCAGGCTGAGGGAAGTCCCTGGGGCTGCAGAACGCTCTCCTGCCCTTCTCACCTTCCCTGAAAAGGGACAGTCATGCGTGGGGAGCATCAAAGCCAATCCCAGGGCTGGGAGAGCTCGTGGGAGGCCGAGAGGAGGCTGCAAAGTGTCCCAGCCAACTCACAACAGCCCTCGAAATGCTTTCGGCCCCCCCCTCCCAGCGCCTCCCTGTCTCTGCCTGGGAGAGGAGGGGGAGACGTGTCTGGGGCCAGCTCTGGATTGCACGAAAGATGGGATGTGTGCCACCTTATTAGAGAATCACCTTGGTATTCACATCCCCTTTCTCCCTCCACTTCTCTGTTTTTAAAGGTGCAAGTTTGTCTTTGGTTTTCCCATTTACTTTTCTAGGGAGTCTTGAGGGTTTTTGTTGCCTTCAGCCCTCAGTTCCCTCGGGAACAACCCGCCAGCTTCCCAGCCTGCCTCCAAACAAGCATTCCCACCTCATGACAGGCTGCTGCACAGATTCAGGATGGGGGTATTTGTGTGTTGTTTTAATGAACGTGGACAGTTTTGTACAGGACTGATACAAAGACCAGGGATATGAGGAGGGAGGTTGTCGCCAAAGTTGTACTGATGTGTAATGTTTGTCAAGATGATTTTTCCTCTTCTCCCATGCCACGTGCTTTCCTGTGAAGCACGTACATCCAGAACTGCCTTTGCAGTCATGCAGTAGCTGGAAGTATCACGGAGAGCTGGGTGGAGCTGTCTGCTTTCATTGCTGCTTGGGGATTAAAAAGAGGAGTGTTCTCTTAATCAACTTGTTAATGAATCAATTCATGCTTGTCCCAGCTCCCCACTAACTCTTTTCCAAGAATTTCAGCTGAGTGAACTGTTCCTGGTGATCATTCATAAAAAATTATGTCTAAGCCATCAAACTCCTTGGGAAGTTGGGGCAAACAGCCCCATTCCAGAGGCACCCCAGATAACATTCAAGTGCAACTCCAGTGCCCGTTTTCCAAGGTTATCTTCTTTAATACTTATCTTTTCAGATAGAACCAGTCTTTAAAATCCTCCCAGGCTCTGACCAGTCTCTTTTCAGTCACTGCCCGTGTCTCCCTTTATCCTGCAGCCATGTTCCAGGCAGTGAGGGCCCTCATGGTCGTGGGCATCGTCCTGGGCATCCTCGGCCTCCTCGTGTGCGTCTTTGCCCTGAAATGCATCCGCATCGGGACCATGGAGGACTCTGCAAAAGCCAACATGACTCTGACCTCTGGCATCATGTTCATCGTTGCTGGTAAGTGGGGGGTGTCCCATCTTCCATGGAAGTGAGGATGGGCAAGTCCTCCTGCAGGTGCTCTGGAGCCACCCAAAGCCTTGGTGCTCTCATGGAGTTATTGGCATTTGTCTTCCAGCTTGGCCTCCTGGGGTCAAGGGGTTTCTACCTCTGCTTAGTAAAAAAAACACCCCAGAAAGCAGATGTGTGTATGGGCAGAACAAGGAAGACTTGGAAAAACAGCCCACAGACGGAAAGGAAAACATCCCTCTTAGGTTGTTATATATATGTTGCTGTCATGTCCTATTTTATGCTTTATTTATATATCGTATTTTTTTATGAGTTTCAGGCTTTATACATAAGAATTTTAGGAATAATTTTAGGAATAATTTTATCCTAGTTTGTGATTTTAAATACCTTGGGTCATCAGGAGGGTTGCAGGAATGCCCAGTGTGCCCAGCTACCTCACAATTTTAAATGCTTAACACGTCATTTACAGGTTGTCCTACTTTCTTTTTTTCTGAGATAGTAATCAAATGAAATCCATATCCTAATGAATGGAAGGAGGATGTCCCTATTGAAAATCCTTAAAATCCCAACACTTAACTTTCGTTGGGATACGAGACATACAACACAAGTTAAAGGTATTTCATAAGTACAGGTTGGAAAGAGGATCAGCATCCTGCAACACAGCTTTGATTTTGCACTTTAAAGATGTCATTTCAGAATCATGGAATCACAGAATGGTTTGGATCGGAAGGGACCTTAAAAACCATCTCATTCAATGTCCCTGCCATGGGCAGGGACATCTTCCACTGGACCAGGCTGCTCAGTTTTACTCCCTTGAGTCAGTGAGCTGAGAATCTGGGCAATTAGAAAATCCCACTCATGCATTCCTGAAGATGGAATCAGCTCCTGGGATGGGACATCCCTTGGTTGCCTTCACCCATTTCAAAACAAGGTCCCCAAACTCAGCTGGTGAGGAATTGGGCCCCCATATGCCTGGTGGACCTGGCCCTTGGTCACACCTCTGTGAGCTGGAGGTTATTTCTTCTTCAGACAAGGGGGAGAAGTGTTAAAGGTCTGCTCAGACCTCCCAAGAGCTGTGAAGAATTGTTTGGGAAAGACTCAGAGGTCTTGGTGGTTGTAGTAATGATAAATAGGACTTTGGATGCCCAGAAGATCTGGAGTCCATACATTTGGGCAAAAAGTCCTCACATGACACTTAGTTTTGTTTTGTTCCTCCTTCCACAGTGTCCAAGGCCAGGTTGGACGGGGCTTGGAGCAACCTGGTCCAGTGGAAGGTGTCCCTGCCCATGGCAGGAGGTAGAATGAGATGAGCTTTAAGGTCCCTTCCGATCCAAACCACCCTGGGATTCCATGTTCAAGTGTCCTGTGAATCCCCCTGCTAAGGAAAACAGGTGATTGGCATCACTGCCAGGCTCTCCAGGGCTGGGCACCACATGGATGGAAGAAGTTCCCACCTCCTGAGGCTGGGCTTCCAGACCTGGCAATGAACCAAACGTATCTCCATGAGGCAGAGAGTGTGTTTTCCCATTAAAAAAATAAATAACTTCTGGCAGGGAATCTTTTGTCCATGTTTGTCACTGTAAAACAAATCTTTAACACTGAACTACTGGATATTTTCAGCTACTGAAATGATCTGTTTGTTAAACTCATTTTCTGTGAGAAAACACATCAGGAGAAAGATTCCTGCTAGGATGATTTGGGATTGTGGAGGGTGACATTGCGTTCCTGCTGTTGGAATTTTAAATGCAAGGGAATCCCAGCAGGAAAGTGTAACATGTTGTGTTGCTGAAGGACACAGAGCAGTGTCTCACCCACCTTTCCAGAGCTGGAAGGTCCTTCCCCAAGGCCACAGGTGACTCTTGAACTGTGTGGGTCTCAGTCTGTCCTTCTCTCTGATCCAGGCCTGTGTGCCATCACCGGTGTGTCTGTGTTTGCCAACATGCTGGTCACAAACTTCTGGATGTCCACCACCAACATGTACCAGGGCATGCAGAACATCCAGAACAGGTGGGTGGTCAGCTGGCTCAGGGTGCTCCACACTGGGAATCTCCCTCAGGGCTGCAGCCAGGGCAAAGGTACATCTGGGAGTAGGTTGGGATGGTTGCAGGACTTGGAAGATTTAGTGCCTTAGGAGATAAAGTCTTACCTGCACTGGAGATGTTGGCTGGGATGTCTCTGCTCATGCAGCTCAAGAAGGAGGTGGGGAGCCCATTGAGGGACTTCTGGGAACTTGTGCAGGGCTGGGGGGAGGATGACAATGCTCAGTGTGTTCCAGGGGGAGCAGCCTGGCCCCTGTCCCAGCCTTGAGCACGTCTGTGTCCCGCAGGTACACCTTTGGCTCAGCCCTCTTCGTCGGATGGGTGGCCGGTGGCCTGGCCCTCGTGGGAGGCATCATGATGTGCCTGGCTTGCAGAGGGCTTATTCCAGAGGAGTCCCGGTAAGCTGAGCTGTGGGAGACATGTGAAGGTGCTGCCGGAAACCTTGGCTATGTGGATAGCAACCAACCAGCACAGGATATGTCTGTGAGATCCCCATCACAATAGTTACTGTGATGATGGAATCACGGAATCATTTAGGTTGGAAAAGACCATCCTGTGCCACCATTAACCCAGCACAACATCAAGTCCACCAATACGTGTTTATTTATTTGCCCTTTATGTGTCAAAAGGGACCATTTGCCTTCCCTGTGTGTGTGACTTGCAGACAAATAGAGCAGGAGAGAGACCTTAAAATCTGAAGTTTGCAATGTGCTGGTTAAGACAGGCCCATTAATTGCAGCTTCATTTGCAAGGTGCACAGCAGATCATTAGAAGGTGTAGATTGCATCAGGTGACCTATGATTTATGTAGAATCAGAGTGGTTTGGGTTGAAAGGGACCTTAAAGACTATCTAATTCCAACCCCCTGCCATGTGGGACACCTCCCACTAGAGCAGGTTGCTCCAAAACCCATCCAGCCCAGCCTTGGTGCCAGGTTGGGTAGTCACAGACCACCCAGTGCCTGATGGGAGCTCCTGTGTCTCTTGCAGTTACAAAGCCGTGTCCTACAACGCCTCAGGACGGAACATCTCCTACCGAACGGGGCCCTACAAGGGGTATGAGCCTGACACAAAAGCCAGGAAGGGCCCGGGGTATGAAGAAGCTCCTCGGAGTGAGGATGGAAGACGTTCCTACCCTTCCAAATACGACTATGTCTAGCAGACCTTCTGGGGTCAGCTTCTGCTCCGTTGTGTATTTTTAACCTCAGAAGCAAAAAGTGCAGCAACTAAAGCAGTCTGTAAACAGGATTGTGCTTTCTGTCGTGTTTTCTACTCTGAGGTTGCACCCTGGTTTGTTGTGGACATCAGTTTTATTTGACTGCCTGCCACGAGGAGGTCTACAACAAAATAACGCCTTTTGGTGCTCTCAGAGTAGAACATCTTGCTCCTGTTTTATATATAAACTGATGTCCAGGAGCGGTGCCTTGTGCCCTTTGCCAATTATTCAAATAGAGAAAATTCCCATTTAATAATAGCTGTGTATGTGAAGTAAATTCAGCCATGCCCCTTTGGATGTGCCCAAAGCCAAGAGACCCCACAGTCATGGAATTCTCCCTGGTGACTGTTTCTGCTCAGTCACACCTTTGCTTTGCTGGTTGAACTGATCTGCTGGGAGATTTAATCTGATTTATGTTCCTTAGACATTTGCTGTAACCTGTGATACCGAAGTGTATTTATTTCTTCTGTTCTCTCCAGGGAATTTGAATAATCCATTGTTATTCCTACAACAGGTCTTTGCTGTAACAGCTCCAAACCTCTGTGTGTGACCAGTGTTCCTGCAGATGTCATCTTTAATGAGGCCAGGAGAGTTTCTCATTTAGAATTAATTACAGTTACATTTGGAGCAGAAATCCCAGGGAGCATTAGATGTTTAACTCTACACCGACAACAGGACTTTCTTGTGTTAATTCTTCCCCCAGTGATGTGAAGATTAACTCCGTGGTGAGATGTTGCTTCCTCCAATCAATTCCTCCGAGTGGAAGTTGATTTGAAGGGGTCAGAGGAAGGGATGTGAGAGCTTAGGTGGGAGGGGAGAGCTGTGTGCTGTTACCTGGCTCCAGAGCACATCCCAAAAAAGCTCTGCAAAGGGCCCATGAGAAGAGCAAAAGGATAAGTTAGGGAGACAGGAGGGCTCCAAACCCACCAAAGTGGCCATTTTGGTGGACATCTGCAGGAGATTTTGGCACCACTTGTCATAGTTATCAATTCTCTGAAGGAGCTCATTGGCAAAATTGTTTTGATGAAATGCTGGTGTTGGTTTGATGTTCTGGAGGGCTCAGAGGCAGAGCTGAACATTCCTCAGAGCTAGGCCTTTGGCAGGTGAAGCTACCACCAGCCTGGTGGCTTGTAGGGGTAGAGGGGGCAGGCTGTGCTCACAGTGGGCACAAACTGGGTCCAACACCCCCATGTCCATCACTGCTCCATAACCATCACCTATCCACAGCCACCAGCTCCCCACCATCACACGGAGGCAAATCCCCAGCACAGCTGCAGGAGGTGTGAAGATGCTGCCCCTGGGGAAGGTCAGCAGGAGAAGCAGGGAACACCTGGAGTTGCAGCACTGGGAGCTGCTTGTTGGACAGAGGTGGGAAGAGCTTCCATCCAAGTCTTGGATGAAGGGCTCTTGGTCCCTGTCAGGCTGGACACTGGCCCCTCCTGTCACCTGGGATAACTCCCTGCTGGATGTCAGGGCTCACCCTCCCTTTCCTGCTACTGGTGGACTTGGTTTAGGGATCTGTTTTTAAAGGAAAACACTTCAGTTTTGCAGAGGTAAATCCTGTTCTATCTTAAAAACCTTGACACTCTTTTCCATGGTTTTATCTCCACTCTCAGTATCAACTTAGATTTCCTGCCTTTTTTTTTTTCTTTTGCGTGCTGAATTTAGTTTTCGGCTTGTTTGTTTTGTTGGTTGTTTTTTTAACACAAATATTAAAAAAGAAGGATATTCAAGACCAAAATCACTGTTTCCAGCTGTTTCCATTTGTTCTCTCCTTGTCATGACCAACATCTACAACCTTCCTGCTCAGCTAAACCCCCCTCAGCTTTGGGTCCTGCAGGTTCTTGGGAGGAGGATGGAGAAATACAGGGAATTGAGGATAAAAATAAAAGATTAGGGTGTGTTTTTTTCCTGTTATTCACATGCTGAGACAAAATACCAGAAAATCTGGTGGAAGAAGCATCAGGGGACCCCAAGTCAATAAGGTGATGAAGTCAGAGCTCCTTATTGGGAGCTCTCTGAGGAGTAGAGTTTAGTTTCAAGGCAGAGATTAAACACTTCTAAATACTTCATTGTTCTTAGCAAGGAAAAAAAAATGCTGGTATGTTCTCAGCTCCACTGGAAAGGGGCTGAAAAGCACAGGAATGTTTAATTTAGATAGGAAACACACAAGTGGTGGTGAGCTGAAGGTACACAGGGTGACGGGAACGGCGGGAAAACAGGCAGGAAAAATTGAAATGAAGGTTTAGGGCTGTGTTAGAATGAAAAACATCCCAAGGAAGCAGCTTGGAAAGTTACACTTGATTTTTATGCAGCACAAATTCTCCAGCAAACTGTCTGAGCTGGTTCTCCCTGGGCTACACTTGGATGTACACTTGGATGACAAGATTGTGGGCAGGAGCTGAAGCAGACCTGGATGCAGGAATTCCTGCCCTCAGAAGGTTTCTAATCTTCCACCATCGCTTTTTGTTTCCCTCGGCCCCAAACCTGCAGGATGAAGTATTTTAATGCAGCAAATGTCCCTGGGAAAAAAATCCCATTCCAAGGGGGGAATCATTTCTTGCTGAGCCTGTCTGTGGTGTGACCACTTCTGCTGTGACACTCCTGCTGTGTCTGTGTCTGTGAAGGGCCTTATCTCATGTGGGCACCTTGGCACAGGCTGCCCAGAGAAGCTGCCCCAGCCCTGGAAGTGTCCAAGGCCAGGTTGGATGGGAGCAACCTGGGCTAGTGGAAGGTGTCCCTGCCCATGGCAGGGGTTGGGACTGGATGGGCTTTAAAGCCCCTTCCAACCCAAATCATTCCGTGGTCATGTGATTCCACGTCTTGGGACATGGACCCAAATAGCCCAAGGGGAAATCTTGGGACTTTACTGAGGACAAAGTTCCCATTTCCAGGCTTTCCTCTGCAGGCTGAAAAAAAAAAAAAAAAAAAAAAAAGAGGATACCCTAATTATTCCTTGAACTTGGAGAACAAAGGGAGATCCAGAGCCACCCCCAGGAGGACCCAATGGTGGCAGCTCATCGTGTCCCAGTGCTGGCTTGTCCCAGTGTCCACATGCAAAGGACAAAACCCCCTGTACCACATGCACAGCCCAAGGTGCACAGGGAAAGGGACACTTGGCCCATGGGCTGCCCCTCACCCCAAACACAACATCTCCCACCACAGTGGGCACTCCAGGGGAACCTTTCACCCCAAAAGGTCTGGATTTGGGCTCTGGAATCCATGCCCAGGTGATCAGGGAATGGAAGGAGCAGCACGTTGTGGAGGACACCAAAGCCATCCCCATGGCTGCAGGCTGGAAGGAGCAGTTCAGCATTGGCTGGGCTGAACTGGGCTTGCTGGTTTGACCAAACCATGAGCTTTGTGCCTCTGGAATTCTTTTGGCTGAGTAAAAGCTGAAAGAGAAGCCAGAGACTGCAGATCTCCTGCCCTGTGAGCAAACCCAGCTTTGCCTCCTGCTGCTGTCACTGGTGAGGGAGGGCACGCAATCCCCTCCCACCCGTTATTTTATCTTTCTTGATAACAAACTTCAGGGCAAAGCATGGTTTTGGTAACACCTGTAGAGCCAAGTCAGGGAAATCATGATGAGTGATTCATGTGTTTCTTTTGTCTCCATAAATTTGATCATCCTCTGAAAAACACACATTAGAGGAGCTGATTAAACACAGGCTTGTCTAACAAAGCCAGGGCTGCAAAGCCTGAGTGCATTGTCTGCCAGCAGAGCCCTCTGTAGGTTCTTTCTGAGCTTCTGCACCGTTTCCAAGGGTGTGAGAGCAGATCTGCATGGATTTGGAGCAAGGGAAGCAAAGACACGTATCTGAAGCTCCAAATTGGACTAAGAGATAAGAACTCTCCTGAAATCTATATGCAATTAAAAGCCAAATCTTCCTTCCTACAGTGACAAGGTTATTGCTTTTATGGAGCTGAACAGAGATGGATGAGTCCATGGATTAATAGCACTAAGATTTATGACACTGTGCTTGCCCCAAATATTCTGGGAGAATAGCTCTCTGGGTGAGATATTCCAGCTGAATAAATTTGATAGGGTTTTTCTTTTCCTTTATTTATTTATTTTTTTAATTTTTTCCCCCAGCTTGGTATTATTTAGGAGAGTTGTGCTGCATTCAGAGCTTTTTAGTGCTGTGGGTTGAATATTTACTATATTCACACTTTATAAAAGTGTTACCAAGAACTGGAGTCCCAGGAAGAAAAAGTCATTGAGAAAAACAAAAAAACAAAATTTATTATTTTGAAGAGCTCCGGACTCCAATGGCATTAAATTCTTAACAGAGGCCTGAGTAGTGATTTTAGTGTTTTGTCCCATGGGAAAAGGATCATGCTCCAGGGGTGTCCTAAATGTTTTTGGCTCTGTTACAGCACTTGGAAGCTGGTTCTTCAGGAATCAGCTGGGATAGTAAAACCAACCTTTCAATTTGTCATGGCACTGCAAAGGGGCCCTTTCTCCACTCCCCCCCCCCCAAAAAAAAAAAAAAAAAATTCACTGCTCTGGGTGATTTCTCCTTCATTAAATTGGCTTCTTCTTCAGCTTGCTGGTTCTGGACTTGTTTTACTGTTCCCAGAGAGGATAAAGCCAAGGGAGTCACTTCTGGTAGGAGAAATGAAGTGTCAGCAGTTGGTGGAGACCCTGGAAAACCCTCAGTGCTGAGCTGAGGACAAGGCTAAAACACAAGGAGAAAATGAAAACCTGGGGGAATTTAGGGAGAGAAGTTTGAGATGGAAGGGATGGAGTTATACAGCTGGATGGGGGACACCAGGCAGGGCAGAGGGGTAAGGGCTGGGCTGCTGGACTGAAGGACAGGGAAAATGGGGAAAACATGGATTTTGGACAGGCCCTGCTCCTCCATAGCACACCAGCATGGGAGGGCTGCATCATCCCTTGCTTTAAAAACTTCAGGGGTTGTTTTAGGTCAGGTTGGAGGGGT